AGATGACACAACACACAACACTGCCAATGGAAAGCTCACCAACTGCCAATGCAAAGCTCACCAACTACCAATGCAAAGCTCACCAACTGTCAATGCAAAGCTCACCACTTTTTTTAAATAAAAAAAGTTAAAAAAATAGCACCACCACTCAACCACCACTCAACCACCGCTCAACCACCGGTCCACGGCAACAGTGGGGGTCATCGGTGGTGGCCATTGGTCATGGGCGGTCAAAGTGTAAAGCTCACCAACTATCAATGCAAAGCTCACCAACTGTCAATGGAAAGCTCACTAAGGAACAATGCAAAGCTCACCACTTTTTTTTAAAAAAAAAGCTAATAAAATTGCACCACCAGTCAACCACCGGTCCACGGCGGTAGTCTGCAGCGGTTGGAAGTCAGCACCACCGCCCTTTGTTGTTTTTTTGAAATCATTTTAAACTTTAAAGTGTGGTGAGCTTTGTGCACATATTCGGTGAGCTTTGCAGTGATAATCAGTGAGCTTTGTTGCTGGGCTTTTTGTAAGCATTTAACCATCAAATTTTGAAAAAAAAAAGTAAAGTGTTGGAAAATCATGGTGAGCTTTGCAGTGGACAGTGGTGAGCTTTGCAGTGATCAATGGTGAGCTTTGCAGTGATCAGTGGTGAGCTCTAGCATCATCTGACTGAAACATGTCATCTTACCATAAGCTGTCATCTCACCGGAGTCAATCCCTATATATATATATATATATATATATATATATATATATATATATATATATATATATATATATATATATATATATATATATAAATTAATACACCCTCCGTCCCAAATTATTTGCCACATTTGCTTTTTCAGCAGTCGCGGGAACTTTTGTTTATTTTTACGTTTTCATTGGTTATTTGATAAAATAAAATATTCTTGACACCTCTTATTTCGAAGAACTTTTCATGTAGTTTTTTGATATGTAATTTTTATTTTTTATTTTTTTACCAATATGTAAATAAAATGAATTGAAAAAACTTGATATTTTGCCTCGGTAATAGAAATGTGACAAATAATTTGGAACGGAGGGAGTACCATAGATAATAAGCGGTATCTAGCAACACATTATTACCCCCAAATTATGAAAAAGACGTTCATCTCATCAATACCTTCTACGACACAAGACGTTCTATAACTATTATCCTTCTGTCCTAAATGTCATGCTTTAACACAAGGCATGGGATGTGTATCCTTGTATAGTTAAATCAGCTGTTACTGAATCTCAAGTAGACTGGTAGGGATCAGATATTTATCAGTCTCTGGATAGCGACATATCTGGGCATAGCCATACACTTTCCCAAGTCCTACTATTCAGTGGGCCCATTGACATTATACTTCTATACAGTAGAAGGGACAGATCCTGTATCTGTTATTCACATCTCCAAATATGCTTAACGGTATACCTAACGCATAACTATACGTCTACCAGTATTTCAGATAGAATTAGTTATGAATCAAAGTATACGGCCCCACATATCAGAGAATGTAATAACTTCAAGTCTTAGGATAGTTATATCAAGGTCGAATTGAGAATACTGATAAACACATTACTGTAGATCCATGCAGTATTCTCAAGATGGGTCAATCCAGTCACATATTATCGATATAATATGCACCTACGTACAGATTAAGATATCACAATACCTATAGTCTATGAGACGCAACTATCTCATCTCGTACGTACTAGTCTTGATACGTTATGATGTCCGTATTATCATAAAGTGCGACTAGGGATATTTTAGACATAGC